TTTGTCATTTTGTAATCAATTTGTTTCACTTGTTTTGCTTTTCTGTTGTTTTTGTCTCATTTTGTGCTGTGTTGTTTCACAAGATTTGTTGTTCTCATTTTTCCTTCTTAATTTTACTTGATTTGTTTAAATTTACATAATTAATTCCTCATATTTATTTTGCACAAATAAAAAAAGTTAAAATAAAGTAAATAAATGTTGATTTGATTTGAATCATTGTTTACACTATGTTGTAACAGTTTCTAGTTTATGCTACTTAAAATAATAATTATTTTGAACAGAATTGTAATGGATGCTTACAGGTTTAGTGTTCTCCAACAGTTGCCGTACTGCGATTTCTCTTGCATGGGGCTGGGGGTGGTTCAAGCTCAGAACCAAACTGGTGTCTGAAACTGGAAGCACCTAATATAAGAACCATAAAAGAAAAGAACTACTACATTTACTACAAGAATGTTAGCTATATTTAAATACAAGTTAATAAATAACAGACACAACCACAGAGGTATCAATGATGGAAACAACAGCAACAGAGATTCAGAAAATTATGATAATGGTAACAGAGAAAGTGGGGATGATATAAGGACATGTAAAAGAAGTATTAGTTTCTCATCCAAATCTTTTGAAAAAAAAGAGAATTAGGGCACTTTTCTTCTTTTTTTCTTTTACTACAAGATGGCAAATCCAAGATGTTCGATGGGAAATAGCTACTACTTTCTCACTTTTACAAAATAGACACATTGAATGCAAATAAAAAAAAAGCACTGGACATGATTCCTACGATATGTATCCCCAACCACAAATGATCAATAGAGGAATTTTACTGATTTTCATACATTTCGTAAAATTAAGGAAATAAACAGAGAAAATGGATGCGAAAGGGGACGAAAAACTAGTAATTTTTTTATTTGGCCTAAAAACAAATCTGAGCTATGGTTACTAATATTATTAATGTATTTATATAAAAGATTATCTGACCTGATGTTTAATTCCAGACAGCGAGATTCCCAAAAAGTTTTGAGCAAGATCTTTAAATTCCTGTTGTTGTTCCAATGAATAAAATGTCTCCATAACTACATCCATAGCAACAGCATATCTGTAAAAGCAAAGATGAAAATATTTTTTGAAGTGCTAAATACTTGGACAATGCTTATGTTTGTTTACCGCTTCAAATGATGCTATGAATTGGTTAGTATTAGATAAACTAATGATGGTTAAAATACTAATGCTGGATAATTATTTATTGTAATGCTTAAATTAAGTTAATATATAGAAAAGTAAGCAGTTACAAAACACTTATCGATTGTACAATTTTAAACATTATATTGGTATTTTATGTATTTTTGAACTTCAGTATGAGTAGCAAGTTAATTATAATGGAAGAGAAAACAATGTTAAATTCACACTCATACTCTCAGAAAAACATATTGTTGCAGCATGTATGTGGGGTAATGTGTGGGGATATGTGTGGGGTTGTACATATAGGTATGTAATTAAAATAAAGCAAAACACCTTGTTTCAAGAATATGTATGACCTTTGCCAGTCGTAGCTTCAAACAGTGTGCCTCCTCTTTACTTAACTCTGAGCAGAATTCGATATAGCCGTTTAGCAACCCACTAGACATAAAGAAAAAATAAACATAATATTAAACTTATAAACCAAATCAAAATTAAATATACATTACCAGTGTCTGAGACAATTTGAAAGATTATAAATACAATGTTACGTAATCCACTGCTCTGTGAAATTATTAATTCAAAAAGAAATATATGAACAAACCTGGCAATCATCTTGGCCGATGACATTTTCAATTCAACACCTTGTAAAATATTCTCCAAGAGAGCGCAATAGTGGATACTTTCCAACGCATCACTTTCATCATCACTTCTTGTCTCCTGCGTCTCTTCAATAGTCGAACAGATTAAAGGTGGCAAGAACAGCGCCATCAATGGCTCGATATTGTGTACGCCAGACAATTGTTCAAGTATCCGTACAAGATCAGGTAGCCGGCAAATGCTCCTGAAAGCTCTGCAATATTTCAAGACATTCCAATCATTATCAAATTCATAAAATGTAATTAAAGTAATACATAACAGTAAAAATAATATTTCGATATGGGAAAATTTGATGAATTGATGATTAGTAGTAGAGGTGTATGTTGGTGGTTGACATGCTTGCTTGCAAATCTTAAGGACTTGGATTCAATTCCTGTGACACCCAGATTTTTTTCTCATGACTAAAAAAAAAATTATTCACTCCTTTATCGTTCAAATGGACGACACAGACTATTATTTTTTTAATATATTTAAGAAGGCCCTGAATATGTGGTGACCTGTGAAAAGCTGCAAGGGTCATCCTTTACCAATATAATTAAGGAATTTATAAATAATACGTAACGAAATGAGTGGATAGACCTATATATGCAAACTGATGAGAAGTGTTATTATGACCATTATAGTGTACTTCATTATAATTGTTACTACAATTCTTTCTGCTCAGATACACTTACTTTTCAGGAATTGAACTGATGTCTTGGGTCTGGCTTATGACTGCTAGGCTAGCCAAACCTTCCAAGGCTAGACTTGGAACAAGATGCTACATGAATATAAAGAACATATTGAAAACAAATACAAGAGCGAATATATAACGAAACAAGTCACCAATAGCATTGTAGTCCATGGGTGTAAGCCCATCCACATATATATGGCAAAGTTAGTTCCAGTAAATGGGTTAAAATACTAAAAATGACCAGTAAGTTTTTATTAGAAATTCTAATAGAGATTTAGTTCCACATTTTAAAATTCCGCCCAGGCCAAAACCAGCCTATGCCCTTGGCTAGATGGGCTGGATAGGTCTAGTCTAAAACCGGGCGACAATGCACACGCAACAGATCGTTTTTAATGAAAATCCGTACAGACTGCTACCAACAATCAGCACAAGGCGTTGCGTCTTCTATCGCTCACAGGGAGCAGGGCTTGACTCGTCGTGCGATGGTAGTACAACGCAGTGAGGGTCCGGCTTAAGCCTCACAGAGTCTAGTCTAAAGCACAATAATTGCAAAAATGCTTAGGTAGCCGACTAAAAACTTGTTAATGTAATGTATTTTATACTTGGCCTATTATACTTTCAGTATTATTATCAAAAGACAAAGAGTAAGGGTGCACTTATACCTCAGTAGATCTTCTGCATGATGATCACTCAATCATTTCTATTATTTACTCTTTCTCCAGCAAGACTTTTTTATACCTTTTTTATTTTGAATAAAAATAAACTTTTTTTTTTGGCCAATTAGCAGACCCACTGAAATGAAAAAAGGGAATTTCAAGAAAAAAAATTTAAATTATTCTTTATTTTTATTACACCCTCTACTGCCTTGGAATATCTAAATATAAGATATGCATATTTCTTCCTAATTATATAAATTTAAAGCATTTAACCATCCCATTACTACACATTTAAATTCTATTTTTATTTTCTCCTGTGTCTGGATGTTTTTGGCAAAACTATTTGATAAATAAGAAAGCAAAACTTTTATTTTTTTTTTCTGCCCTCCTCTGATGATTTTTACGAATATATGTTCACAAACCAATAAAAAAAGTCTGGCCTAAGTGTCTAAAGTCTGGAAATGAAATAAATCAAATGAATAACCTTGCTTAAGCTATTGATGAGTGGATGAAGAAGTTCCTCTTTCAATGTTGCCTTGACAACCAACTGACATACCACCATGTATGTTGCTGCCTTATAATCCACCATCTTGGATTTTAGGCCTTTCAGTAGATATGGAAGCAAAGCAGACACATGGTTCTCTGTGATGACACGAATGTTTTCTAAAGTACCGACAAATGTTGATGCATAAAATGCTATCACTACTCGCAATACATTGGATGCGTTCTCCTTACTGCCGGAATGAGCCTGGTTAAAAAAAAACATAAGAGTTGTATGTATTCTACTAGTTTAACAAGCAATCCACCTGCCAATAATGCAGTGCACCCACCAACACAAACAAATGAAATCTACAGAAAATAAATGCATGCTTTAGATACTTCTTGAAAGAACAACACAGTTGTCAGAATCTGACACACTAAAATCTCACATTTGTATAATTTGTAAGGTTTCAAATTACAAAAGACACCCATGTTACTTCTACCTCTATTATTTAAATACCATAAATAAAGTAATATATGTACAGAGTGCAATCCTGAAAGCCTAAAATATGAATGAATTAGAAAATGTGTTAAAATGACCAATTTTCAGTGTATTATATGTCCTACCTTAATCGCCTTTAGAAGAATATCACCAACAAACTTTAAAAAGCCAAGATTACTACTGCACTGGTTCAGAAGAACTGTCCTGGACAATGGAACCCCAGCATTCTAACAAAAAACACATAAGAACCAGACAAATCGATTTGAGATATTTGTGTCAAGTTTTTTCATGCAATAATACTTAATTACATATAATTCATTCTCTAAGGTGGAGGTTGCAGAAAGTTAAGAAAACATGCCTACTACAAAAATAAAATGTTATAACTTTATTTTTATATTATTATTTAATATTATACATGATTATTAACTTACCTGTAGTGGGTGAAGCCAGTGCCAATGGCTTGTTGGATCACTGATGTCTATCAGCTGTAGAATACGTACAAAGATCTTTGTTTCATAGTAGGGGAGGATGCATCTCATCAGACCCTCTTTGTTGTAATGGTAGATATGAAACCTGCACACAAATAGTATATAAATTATATGTTGATTATGACCAGTTTTCCTTGTCGCTTAAAAGCGTTGGTGTGCTTTGTGGGCCTAACTAGTGCAAAGCAAAGTAATCAGAGGCCCACTGGCAAACAACATGAATCTAGGTCTAAAGGTTTAAAAAACAAGTCCACAAATGTTACAGCACTGATCTTTATTCATGATTATTCCTTAATATACTGTCTATGGTAAGATCTGGAAAAATTTTAAAAATTAAATTAAAACACCATATTGTTAATTTAAAATGATCAAGTTATAAAAATAACAATCAGACATGGATTCACATTATTATATATGAAAACACTTCCCACCTGAACCAAAGATTTTATTAATTATTATCTTTTATTATTAATACATATTATATTTACCTCTTTTTCTGTCGTCAATGGATTGAGAAAGCTAATGTCTTGTATGTAACAACAGACATTTTTTTATGTATATTTTCCAAAAAAAAAAAAAAAAAAAATAGGTTTGTAATTAATATTCACCAGTGGTGGCTGAGTTGGGTGTTATGTCCCAGTCAATTTATATATCATACTTACCTATGAACAAGCCACTCGAGAGCTTTATGTGCTTGTCTCAACGGCAAGTATGGTATGAGTCTCAGAAGGAACTCGTTGATCTTGTCATCTAGGCTGGCATTGAATTCTTTTGACTGTACAGACCTCTCTAGAGATTTGGAAGCTTCGTCAAACAAGGTTGCTTCAAACTCTTGGAAATCTGTATCTAAATTTATCAACTCATAGAGTCCATTTAAACCTGAAAAAATTAAATAGATAAATATTATTAAAGTGTTAAAAGCCTAATAATTTATACCACGATATATAGGGGCAACTTTCTTATAACTTGTTTCGAAAACATATTTTTTTAAAGATTGTCAGAGAATGGCGGAAAATGTAATTAAAATAATGAAATAAACAGTGTAGTAATGAGATTTATAAAAGCTTTAAATTTATGTAATTAAGAAATATACATATCTTATTTTTCGGGGAGTTCATGGAGGCGAAGGGCGTAATAAAAATAAATATGAAATTTCTTTTTTTTAATGAAATTTCCTTTTTTTCATAGTTGAGGATATACTGGCAAAATATTTTTATTTAAAATCGCCAATATTGGCCAAACAATGTATAAAAATATTCTCGGATATGTATTATATAGGACACAAAGAGAATCGTTTTCATTCAAGTTTTTTATTTTATTTTTTCATATGCTTACTTAGCTTTGCTAAGCTTAACTGGGATTGAAAATTCTATTTTGTTTTCATGTTTGTTTTTAAATACTAATGAAATTTAGGAATGGAGTCTCACTGTTGTACTGTATTGAAATAGTTGTCCCAACTAACTGCAACCTTGCAAAGGTAGAGCAGAGAGTTGTTATAGACTGAACACCATGTTTACAAATTGACCTAACAATTCATCACTTGTATGTGATCATCCAAAGCAATACAATATCATTTTTTTGTAATTTATCAAATTACAAAATAAATTCAAATTGCATAAATCATTCACCAATGTCGTAGAATGTCTCTTGGTCTAGGCGTGCAGCTTCTTTGGGGTCAAAGAGCAGGGACTTCCGGTGTGGATCTTCTCGTAGTTGTACTGCCTCTGTTTGAGGGCGGGCTAATTGTTTCAACTGAGTAGCTAAAGACGTCATCTTGGAGTTGATCTGGAATCAGGATAGTCAACTTTCAAATAAACCTGAAAAACAATTTTTAAATTAAATATAGCCTAAGTTTATTTATCAGCATAAAGAGAGTAGGAAATGGTTATTATTCCTACTTGCTGTATGCATTAAAACAGCTTAAAATTATTGTAACAATAACCATGATAACACTTTTCTATATTTCGTTTTTTCCCTCTCCTGTCAAATAAAATTTGAGGTGGGCCTAATATATAATATTAATAATTGATTTATAAACAACATTTTCAGGACAAATATGTGCATCCAATATCCTACACAACTAAAAGGTTCAGGACTCATTTATGAATAAACGAGTCTGATCAGCTAAAATTAATTACAGACAATCAGGCCCATAGATGATAGGGCCAAGGATAATCGGGTCCAGGATAATCTGGCCCAGGATGATCAGGCCCAGGATGATCAGGCCCAGAACGATCATGCCCAATCTAGACTGTAAAGCAGGACCTGCGCGGAGGAATTTATCATATGCGCAAAAATTAGAATTTATCATATGCGCAAAAATTAGGCATAGAAAATCGTCCGTGCATTTTGGAAAATTAAGGGCCAATTTCCGCACAGATTTTGCCAACAAATTAGGTTTCGATCTAATTTTAATATCACCAATGTATTATGGAGTGGTTAAGATTCTGCGCATTTATCTTCCTAGTGATGTAAATTTGAGCTAGTTTTTGAAGTATTATCCGTTATCTTAACTGATAATTGGCCCAATTGTCCGGAAATGGGCCCGATCATCTGTTGGCAAAATCAATTTCAGCCCACTGACCATTCAAGGTGTTTACATTGGCGTGGCTAAAATTCTGGCGGCAAACTACTATAGTAGGCAAAAGATTCACCAAAAATAGGACAAATACACTGGAAATCAGTATACTGGTTATCTTTATTTTTTGTGCCAAAAATATGAAAGCTACATGGATGAAATTCAAATATGTCACACTTATATATATTATGAAACGACAACAAAATAAAAATTTATGAAATTATATTTTTTATGTTTTTATTCAATTTTTAAAGTCATTTTCGTCTTATCTCATGGGATGTTGCCAAGTGCGAGCATGCTAGGTCAAGAAAGTGAAAGCTTCATTACATGACGCTAGCACAGTTTGTCCGTTGCCTGATTGACGTTGACAGCAACGTAGTACAGCAATTCGGTCTAGAGTTAGAACGAAAGAAAAATGCATTTTTCAGGATACTGTATTAATTTTCTTTTAGGCAACTATAAACTTTACCAAACACTGCTGTAATGATTTGTTGAGTAATTATTCCATTTTTTTAAAAACACACAAAATGTTAAGTACGGTACGCTGACCAATCATCCTCGACAGGCTAAATGAACTACAGGTGAAATGAAAAATAATGTTTACATGAGATCAGACTATAGTTTAGCATGAATATTACAGTCATTAAATAGCTACTGTACATTCATTATGACACTTGTGAATATACTGTAAATGTTTGAATAAGCACCGCTCTCGAATAAGCACCACACCAAACATTCTTTTTTTTCTTAAGCTTCGCTCTCCAATAAGCATTGCGGCATTTAATTGGGAGACAAGGTTTTAAATACAATGTATAGTGTTAAAACGAATAAATAACACAATGAAGACAAAAGCATTTTTTTTATAAACATTTATTTACGATGGCATAGCACCTACGATAGGCCTACCTAACTACGAGAATATGCGAGATAGTTAACACGGGCACATGCATGGAAAGCGCCATGCCGATATTTTTTATAAGCACCACTCTCGAATAAGCGCCACACTGAAGCCTGCAAAAACAATGAAGACACAAGCATTTCTTTATAAACATTTATTTGCGATGGCGTAGCACCTATGATAGGCCTACCGAACTATGAGAATATGTGAGAAAGTTAACATGGGCACATGCATGGAAAGCGCCATGTCGATATTTTATATTAAAGCACCGCTCTCGAATAAGCGCCGCACTGAAGCCTGCAAAAACGTTATAAGCACCGCTACACTTATTCGAGCATTTATGGTAAACAATCCTTACTTAATTAATTATTAAACTAATTAATGGCTGAAGGGTTTCATATCTGTTTGAGGCATGTGCCAAGCAGATCTTGGTGCCCAATTTCCAGCAACATTTTCTTTACCCATTTCAGGACATGCATAACTATTGTATAAATATTGTTCATTGTTCCCGTCCTTGCACATATGTTTATTAAAAGCAATCTGTTATCATATGTTATGATAAAGCCTAATTTGTTATTAATAAAATGTTTGTGATGTTTTTTGTATTACTTTAGGTGAACGAATTTGGGGAGACATCTCTAGGAATAGGCCTATTTATGTTGAACATATATAAAAATTTCATCATATCATTTTTTATTTTTCATCATCATCATCATCATCAATATCGTTATTATACAAGATCCATAATGGGTTGTCATTAAATAAAACTTGAAATTCTTTTAATTAATTTTTTTATTTATAAAGAAGAACCAGCATGCAGTCTGTCCACCAACATCAAATAAAACTGGGCATAGTGACAGCAAGGAAACATCAAAATATGAAAATGAAAAAACACATAATGGTAAAAACCATCCCCCGCCGGACACCATCCCAGTGTTTCTGGGTCTAGGTTTCAGGATTTGAATTACAAATTTATGAATTAAAAGAGAAAAAATCACTTATTTATGGTAGAACCTATCGGATACCATCCCGATATATCCGAGTTTTGGATTTGGGTTTGGAATTACAATTATATGAATCAAAAGAGAAAAAAAATACCGCTTTTTCATTATTTAGTATTTAACTGCAGCAGTTGCAATACCAGTCTAACAACTCAATTTCCTCTTTGGTCATGCTTTCTGCTTCGTCTATCCCACAGCATTTGGTTGCACAATGAAACCATCTTCCACACTCACAGCCGATCCACAAACTTTTGCTGTCATATTTTTTGCGACATTTCGAACAGATGTTTCCATTTATCTTCAACATTTTCAAGGCTACGTCCTTCTTTTCCTTACGCTCATCTTTTCTTTGTTTTTTCGCATTTTTCAACGCTGCCTTCGCACTGGCTTTCGTCTCAGCATATGCAATGAACTGCTCGCTAGACAATGCCTTCGACATTTCTCGGGATTTGATTTTATTGGCTGATAAAGTCCTCTGCTTTTTCGGGATACGCAAGTGCTCCCGAAATGCTGAGGAAACCGGATCTTGTGCAGAAGTAGAAGGCGAAGAAATTGCTGAACATGAAGCTGTAGATGAAGATGACGAGGAAGATGGTTCCACTGGTGGGGATAAGATTCCTGACCTGCTCCTGAGGGATAAACAAGGATGTTTACTGGTAGCTGGACGAGATTTTGACTGGAGCTGTTCACGTATGGCCTTAGCCTTGAGCTTGCTCCATGTCGTGTACTGAGAGTCATCAGCAAGTTCGTAGCCATTGTCGTACCGGCACTTATACAGCGACACCCGTTGCTCGCCCAGTAACGATTCTACCAGAACCAACGTATCGGTGGCAGATACCTCGGAGTTTGCCGCCAGCTCTGGTGTTTTCGCTGCAGACTCTGGTGCTGGTCCTGGCATTGCCGCTACTGCTGGCTCTTGAGCTGCCACCGTCCAGTGATGGTTGGTGTCATCCTTGTCGAAAACGCAAGATGGTTTAAGTTTTCGTTTATCGATGGCATCTAGAGAGAACGGAAACAGACCCGCCTTTCTAAAACCAGAAGATGCATTTTTTTTGGTGGATGATTGTGTCCATGGTTCATTGAACACCTTCGAAAATGTCCATTTTTCTACTACTTCCCCAAGATTACTAAATTGAAATTGCTGCACGGCCTTTCGCCATTTAGACTTAAGAGGTCCAAAAACAGCTAAGTCCAGTGGCTGCATTATGTGCGAACAATGACTGGGAAAACAATACAATACAATTCCATTATCACGGCAGAATTTGCAAGTTTCAAGGTTTAAATGCGATGCATGGCCATCTACAAATAGGATAATGGGAAATGTCACTCCGGCCTTTTGAACGGATGGCAAAAAGTGGTTTGATACCCACTTAAAAAATACTTCTGAATCTACCCATCCGTTGTGGCTTCTCCCAAGGAAACTTCCCTCTGGTGCGCCTGCTAATGGACTGTAGGCAAACCTCCGCCCCGGAAACACCATCATAGGTGGCACATAAAAGCCTGCTGCATTGCAGCACGCTAAAACTGTGATTTGTGTCTTTGAAGTGTTGCCCAAACGATATACGTCTTTAGCACCAAGCTCGGCGATAACTCTACCAGTTTTTACGTTAAGTGGAAATCCCGACTCGTCCGCATTGAAAAGGCGAGTGGGGTCATCTAGTGCTCAAAGCAACTCCTTTTCTTCGGCATACCTCCAAAAGTTCTTAAACCATGCCTCAATCTTCGCAAAACCGATCACAGCACGTTCTTTGCCAAGGTGTTCTGGTATGCGGCGAGTAAGTCGAGGATGTCTTTTGAAGAAAAGTTCTGTCCATCTTCGTCCGGGCCTGTTGTCATTAAAAGGATTTTGTCGCTCATCTTTGTCCAGGATTCTTTTTACAGTATCCTGAAGTTGTACCCGTGTCAGTGGATACCCAATTCTGGACATTTCTATCAGCCAGTTCTCCAGAAGCTGAGAAAAAGGATAGGCGTTGTTAGGTTATTTGTGTTTATTACTACTAACTTCACTACTACTACACTTTTTCTTTTTCTATTACTACAGTATTATTATTATCATTATCATTATTATTATTAGTATTATTATCATTATTATTAATATTATTATCATTATTATGTTACTAAAACCTACCTTAAGGGGAACTTAGACAATGGAAATTCAAGAACAATTAAAAAGACGATGTTAAGGGGAAAAAACACACAAGATTCCCCTTAAGCCCGACACATATTATTATTATTATTATTATTATTATTATTATTATTATTATTATTATTATTAATATTATTACTATTATTATTTATATTATTACTATTATTATTATCATTTATCATACACTTGCCGCATTACAACAACACATCTAAAACCAAGAATTATTCTTAATGATCCTTTAACTTAAATAATAATATGTTTATATAGTGCTTCACATGGCCTATGTTTAAGTGCAAAAATAATTTTAAGTCAGAAATTCGAAAATTCAGATAAGTAAAATACTTACCTCCTCTTCTTCATTTGTTAAGATCGTTTTCGGGCCATTCCGTCCGGTGATCGGTCGACGCCCATGAAGTTTATCCCATAGAGTTGAATGTGGGATTTCGTAAATCGATGATGCTTTTTGAATCGAAATTTCTCCTCTTCTTATTCTTTCTAATGCCCGATTAATAATCGTAGGGTCGGTATACCGATGCCTAGTTACTTTCGGCCGTGGTCGAACAAGTGCCATATCTATTTAAGATAGCACAGTTTAAACAATTACAATGCCATTTAGCCTTTTGCTTTCTACAGTTTGTGTATGTATTTGTTTTCTTAAAGACTTTCTAAAGATTGATGTACCTTACATATAATAATGTTCAAATGAATAAAGATATTGGAAAAAATTAACTCCTATGGTGAAAAATTATTGCTCTAATATTATTGTTAAAATTGCTTTTAAATCATAAATTACATTATTGTAAAAGATTATGTCTTAACTATCTCCAAGCCTGTGTTCTCTACAAATTCACTTGTGCAGGGTGTCCTGCACGTATTATATTGGTGAGTGAGACCAACAGACACCTAGAAACATGGGTAAAGGAGCACTCAGTTCAGGACAAGTTCTCACACATTTTTCAACATCTTCAAAACTCTGTTATATGCAAAACACATATAATTCAGACTACAGTACTTTAGTATTCTTGATTCAACACACAATAAATATCAATTTAAGATATAAGAAGCCCTTTACTTTGCTTGGGGAAATCCATCACAGAACAAACAACTCACTACAATATCACGCTTTCATTATAATTCTTATGTACATGACTAAGGAGGACTTATTTGGGAAATTTGAAAAGGGGGGGGGGGTTCGCCAGAAAAGGGGGATTCTCTCGAACCATAAAACCCCCCGTGGATACAGGCCTGAATTACTGTAGCTTAGTATTTGCTTGTTCGTCATACACTCGACCGGTAGTATATAATTATAAACCGGTAGTAGCAACATAAGCATTATTGCCTGATGATTAAATGTGACACGTCGAAACATGTAGCTAATTAGTTTTGCATATTTCATTAGATGCATTACTACGTTGTATTTAGGAAGCATTGGATGTGTTTTCATTTTTTATAATCTTTCATAAATATATAAATATCGTGATTTTATATAATAGCACAGCCCTGCACCCATGTTTTTTGGGTTTTGGACTGTGACTTCTCAAACATTGTTTTTGTAAACAGCTGTATGTTTAAACTCCTGTAACTTTATAATGAAATGTTTGATTTAAATTATTCTTTTACTATTTCATAGATCTCGTTTTACTGTTTAACCCTGTAATAATAACTAAAAATCAATTTTTGCCACAAGTGACTAGTTTGGCCTGTCTGCCACATATACTGTACAGTAATATCACAAAAAAGTTAAATATTCATAAATAATTAACCATAAACTAACTCTGCTCTAACATTATAACTTTTAAATATAATTATCCAGAAAGTTATTGAAGTTACCTGTGAAATTGTTATTAAACATAACATATGGTTCAGTATCACCTACTTATCTACATTCAAACATAACACTACATATTTCTGTATATAACAACTATATATACATGATTCAAATATAACATGGTATTGTATTTTCTTATGCTTTTCCTGTATACTTTCAAAACTATTGTTTCTCTCTGTGTTTCACGTATGATTATAACTCAATAAAATAATACTTTAATAGTTAGTATAATAATTCCTACCATGGGACTCCTATAACCATGATTTATACCTCCATGCAATAACCACTGGCAAAGAATTAATGACTAACAGGAGGAGTTACCATGGTAACCATGTCAACTTTCCTTTTGCGACCCTGAAAATATGCAAGGTCCAAATATACAATGCACAAACCTACTACTTTCTCACATTTACCAATTAGATACATTGAAAGCAAATAAAAGCACTGATGTGAATTTCATAAAATAAAGGAAATAAAAAAATGTAAAAAGAATTGGTAAAGCGAAGAAAATGAATGTGCGAGGCGATGAGGAACTAGTAATTCTTATTATTTAGCCTTGTATAATTTAATATGCCTGAATGAGAACATGAAAATAGTTCTTATTACTAACATAAACATAGAAATACACAGTAATCAAAGATACACATCACCAATATGAAGTAAATACACTAATATTATTAATAAGTTCATCTATAAATATGACCAATTATACCACTCTACCACCTAGAAGTTTGGAATATTGTATAGTAACCAAATAAAATGAAAGTTATCTAAAATAAAGGCTTTTACATACCTAAAAAATAACACAACGTAGACAATGTCTTAGCAATACAGTAGAAGATTATTTAATGACCTCCCACAGTCCCAACCCTACACTGCTTACTTTGCCTACAGTAGGCTACACCCATTTTCTCTAGAGGGGTGCTGTTTAATACAGGCTGTCACAGTAGGCTACTAATAACAATAATATAGTTATACTAGTAATAGAGTAAAACAGTAATACTCTACAATAGCCTAATATTAACTTTTAAAAAATAAAAATAAAAATAATAATTATTACAGATGTCATCCCATGTATTATACCACTAAGATTATAAGTCGAATAGGTAATGCTCTTGAATAGGTAATGCTCTGGGTAAGCATAGGCTCACAGTAAAATATCAAATAAGCACCCTGGGTGCTTATTGAAGAGTGGGTTACGGTAATTATAGCTCTGGGAACAATTCATTTACAAATCAGGGGATAATCAGTCAATCCTGATTACCAAAGTGAACTACCATACTGATGAAAATATACTCACCAATTAGAAGCTGAATAAAAATATCCTATATTTTTATTAGAGCGACGAAATCAATTGCCTCCAATATGTCCCTGTGATTTGGGACTCGATGATCAGTTGAGGCTTGATGATCAGTTGAGGGGCACTAATTCGCAAAATAAGGTGATTTTTCACTACTTGACCATGAATTTTGGTGGGGCGACTGGGGAAGGTGAGTAACTTTTGGAGGGGCGTGCGGCCGGCGCACCCCCTAGATACGCCACTATTTTTTAACGTGTACTTTTCTTACATTTTTTTCTCCTTTTCTCCTAGCATTTTCATTTTTGTTGTTAAGCGCATTGAGGCTTTAGCATAATGCAATATAAGCAAAAATTAATATTATTATTATACAGTATGTGAATTTCATCCATGCAGCTTTCATATTTTTGGCACAACAAAAATAAAGATAAACCAGTATACTGATTTCCAGTGCATTTGTGCTATTCTCATGTAATCTTTTGCCTACCAGGTAAATATTATTTACTTTATTCTTTTTTGGCAAGTTGCTCAACTATGGACTTTTTTATGCTCCGTTGTTTTACAGTATGTCAGTTTTGTATGTAATAACTCGGCAGCAAAAAAAGGCTCACAATGAGCGATTTTGAAAGATGCTGTCATGCTGGTGGCGGCATTTCATTGGATAATGCAATTTACCGTAACTTTTAGCAAACGAAAGTTAAGATACGGTACCGTATCTCAAGCCACAGTGAAAAAAATACATAAAGACCAACATAATATTAATATTATATGAATTATGATAATTTTATTAACAATTTTCTTTTTGACCTTTAGACTGGAAACCTGTTTAAGGTTTGTGAGTCCCTCTACTATATGATATACTTTGATAGGGTTCGTACTTCAGGCTTTGGTTTTGCCAGTGCGTTTCAAGGTGGCTTTTAAACTTATTTATAGAAACGGCATTAACAATGTGATATGGCAGACTATTCCAGCTGTTGACTGCAGCTAATGAGAAAAACTTTTGTCGGTGCTTAGTTCTGCAATGAACTTTCCTAATTTTAAAATTGTGTATGTGGCCCCTCGTTGAAAAAGTATGCGGTACAAAATCGAAAAATACTCTTGGACTTACCTGTCAGTGGGCCTACCTATGCTATTATTATGTTAAATAAATTTATAATGCAATAATGAATCCCAAAATTAAAGTAGCCCCGATAGTCCAAAATAAGTTGAGCCCTATCGTCTGGGAATGAACCCGATCGACCGACCCGATCTGAGCTTGTCACCCGAAAAAATGGGTCACATCAGCGAAAAAAATATGGCTGGGCGTTAGGCCAAGGCCTAGCCTAGCTTAGTTTAGCCGGAGCCTAGGGCCTAGCCTCGTAGTAGGCCCTAGCTAGGCTAGCTAGGGGCAGGCCTAGCCATGCTCTGGTAATTTATATTAATAATATCACTATTAGAAAATTCATTATTGACATAAAATTTATACTTACACGTTATCAATCAGATAAAGTAAAAGAAGTCATAAGAATTTTATATAATCATATATTTTAGGTAATTTTTGTTCCCCGCAATAACACCAGAGAGATAGATACAAGCACATGTGTGATGGATGGATCATCGGTGGTGTGGGGCATACCCTATTCACCAATACAGGCATGAAAAGAGCTTCGAAAACCATTGGTTTACAAATGACGAATTAGAAATTAGGGATAAGTTCAAAATATTAAAGACATGGTACTATATTATTTTTTTCTGAACATAAATTACCTTCATAAATAGGTACCCGGTAAGTATTCTATATATGCAATTATCTAGAAAAACTCCATAATAAAATTATGTAAGTACAGAGGGCGCTTGTACCGGATAACGTCATTCACTAATTAATGGCCGCCATCGTGTAGAAGAAATTGAATATCATCGTCCGTTTACCGGAGTCACAAAAAGGCGTCGGAACACTTCCAATTGTGAACTATTTAGATTGATGGGAGTTTATTCATAATGCTTATAACAATTAAAACGTTACAGCAAGTTACTTTTCAAATTGAAATAGATGAAACATGTTCGGTAAGCATTAATATGGGAAATACGTTAGGCACCCACACAAAGGTAGATACACAGTGCAAGGAATATTACACCGGTGAAGTTTGCCTTTTTCCCCTGGTCTATTAAATTTAAGTATACGTAGTGTCCTAGGCCTAGAGTTCACTTCACGTAACTTGCATGATTCTCTTTTTATTTTGCTGGCTCATAATTTTTTTCCAATTTTTCTTTTGCACTGCTGTGTTTAAATAATTAACGTTTAGGCCTATGCTAAATTGGGGCGAGTTTGATCAAATTGTGGAAAAAAAACCATCCATTAATTTTTTAATTAGTGTCAGTAAAACAGTGCATTTACCAGCAGTGTTTGAACATGTGCAGGCCTACATTGTGCGTCCACCTCTGCATGGCAACATCAAAACCACACAAATGCGAAATGTTAAACATTAAAACACAACAACTACTAGGCCTACTACAAGAGTATACTTGTTCAATTATCAATAAAAACTCTATTTTGTAGCTGTAAATTGCCTGGATTTTGATTAAAATTGACTAATATTTTTATAGCAGGTCTCGCTACCAAGTTTTATAAAGTATCGTTGACATCGCATGCTTGTACCAGTTGTATACTGTACAGGGTACGGTTACCTTGTATTAACACACTATCTCAATGCAGTAAAATAATCGTAAGGTCTATCAATGGGGAGAAAAATGCTCCATCAGCAAATAGTTGCCGTGGGCTATGGCTTTACTACAGCAATTTATTCTTCTTCTACAACAACATGCTTTGTAAATTTGTTAAGAATAGGTCTATTCTATTCTATTCTGTAACTCGTAGCAAAAAGCTTGCTGTCAAGCATAGGACGACAAAGCAACAGCACGAGAAGGCCCTTTCTACAGCAGTTGCTGTTTGTGCTGTGGGGAAAATCGAACCCTTTAATGACTATGAGATAAATAATAAAGATATGATTGTGTTCCTCGCCAGCTTCAATGGGTGCCTCAAGCACTACTGCAGTGGATTTGTGCACTTTGTAAATCATATTATTATTATTATTATTTATTCATTACCTTTAAGTATCAACTTTCATGTGATTAAACATTATTTCATCCTCATGGTTCTTTGTCTTGTTTTATAGGACCAGCATACAATATGACCACACAGACTATTGAAAATATTTAACTTTAATTTTAAAAGTCAATAACAAATTTTAAAATAACGGTCAAAAAACTGTTTTTAAAAATCTACATTCAGTTCTTCTGATCTAGTTAATTGAACTTTCCGCTAAGTCTCAGCCCTAGAAAATTGTTCCAAATGTCTCACAAAATGATAGCATAAACATAAAGGCAACACCATCGAAAATATAATAACTACTGGTACTACTGTAATAATATTTTTAAAAACATCTTTAAATAGCACCCTCTCATAAACAAAAATAAAAAGATTACTAGTTAACAAGAACTTACCTGAGTTTGAAGTTTGATCTTCAATTCATAATTGTAATTGTTGAGTAGATTATGTGATGGAATGTTCTTGAATATTATTTAATTTTGTATATGTTGTACGTAGTTAAATTGATTGCCAAGATTTTTTAGTGTTTGAAACAAAAAAAAAATCATTTTTCATTATATTTTGAATCACTGATGTTCATGGTGTTTGGTATACAGTAAAAAAATATTGTAAAAGGATGCTAAAAACATAAGAAGTTAGCAATTTTTTTTTTTTTTGGATTAAAATTGTGAATTTTTCTTATAATAACAGGTCAAGGAATTAAAAGAGAAGATAGAAAGTGAAAAGGGAAGTGAGGGTTTCCCAGCAAATGGACAGAAACTGATTTATGCAGGTACTTTATTCTTTATTCATCTTTAATGGTTCTTTGAGCTAGGTGCCTATTCACTACAGGGTAATGTCCTTCCAGAGCTCATATTCACTATCCATGTTATCTTTAACCAGGAATGTAAGTGAATACCTGTTTTAGGTTTTGATATCTATGTGCTGATTACTGACTTGCCAGTATTCAGTATTCAGTATTTATTGGCACTCACTTTCAGATCAGTGGCACACACCTAGATTTGTAATGCATTGATTGAGGCATTAATATGCACTATCACTATTTATTCAATGTAACATATGTATTAACAAGGTACTACAGTTAACTTTAATTCAATAGGCAAATTAATTATTTAGCTGGAGGGCAGGGATAGATGCTATAAAGTTACTATATACAGTATAGTTATTTGTATAAAATACCAAAAAAAATAATTCTACATATTTTCATTTTACATAATAATTTAATTTTAATATACTGTAACTAACTGGAATTAAACATTTTTGCAGGTAAAATTCTGAGTGATGATTCACAGCTAAAAGAATATAACAT